TGCCAGCACGTTTGGAGCTGATGCCTCGGAGCTGAACTGGCTCTGATATTCCCGATATTCCCTTCCAGGGGTGATGGTGCTGCCACAGCTCAGGGGCTGCCAGCTCGGGAAGCAGAGCTGGACGTGGATGATGCTCTCCTGTCCTTAAAAACAGGCTTTGTTTTACTTGGAGTGGTTACAAAACCCTCTCCCAAAAATGAATTGGATGTAGCCGAGCTCTCCTGTAGGAGATGGGAGGAGAATTAGAGAATAATCAATAAAAAAGCCATAACACCAGCAGGAATTTTTCCTACCCAGTGTTGGCTGTGTTTCAGGAGCATCTGAGAATGTTTGGGATCAGCTGGAAAAGCCCCTTTCAGGTTTGGGTGAATTAGATAAATTATTTTTTATTTTAATAGTTTAATTTTTAGCCTTTGATCTACACCCTGGAACAACCAGAAAAGCAAATCTGCCAGGGGGAAGCTGGAGGAGTGTATGTAAAACAGGGAGAAAAGGCAGGTCTGGGAGCCTGGGGCTGATTTTTTTTGGGGAATTGGCATTCCCAGCTTTCTTCTTGCATGGCAAACCCTGAGCAGAGGGTTGGTTTTCCTGTGCCTGGGATTGAAAACCCAGATTCCCATCAAGAAGGACCCAAAAGGAGCTGCATCCTCAGTGTGCCCAGAGCAACCTGCTGCATTTCTTGGTCTCAAATTTTCAGCAAGGTGGGAATTTGGGAGGAAAAAGGCAGCAAAGCCCATCCAGGCAAGCAGCACAAACCAATATCTCCAAGCCCTGGAAAACTCCGTGTTTTCCTGTGTCTGAGACCTGACAACAGCCACTTAAATGTATGAAAAGCAGGAACTTGTTTCAGGCACATAAAAGGGCAAAATTCCTCCTGGCAAGCAGCAAAAAGCTGGGAACAAGCAGAGGAAGAACCTGAATGAGGAGCCAGGTAGGCTCAGGGAAATGTTCACAGCCAGGATGTGTCTGAAATCAAACTGGGGTCCTGATTTTCATCAGAAATTAGGGAAGCAGAGTGGAATGTGCCTCATTTCCCAAAGTGTTTCCAGCAGAGTGATTGGATATGAAGTGTGAGGGCTCAGAGGAGCATCGGGCTGCAGATTGCTCCCCTAAATCATCCCCCTTTCTGCTCCCTGCAAGTGATTTCCAGAATGTCTTTGCCAGAGAACGTGAAACTGCCTCGGAAAAACTCGGCATGGCCACGATGGATTTGTTGAGAGCAAATGGGGAAGTGGTTTAATTCATAGGATTCCAGAATCCTGGAATGGTTTGGGTTAGAAGGGACTTAGAGATCCCTTTCTACCTCCTTTCTACAGCTTCCACTATCCCAGGTTGCTCCCACCTGGCCTTGGATGCTTCCAGGAATGGGGCAGCCACAGCTTCTCTGGGAATTCCATCCCAGCCCCTCACCACCCTCACAAGGAAGGATTCCTTCCCAATATCCCATCTATCTCTGCCCTTTGGCAGTGGGAAGCCATTCCCCCTTGTCCTGTCCCTCCAACCCTTGTCCCAAGTCCCTCTCCAGCTCTCCTGGAGCCCCTTCAGACCCTGGAAGGGCTCTCAGGTCTTCTCTGGGCAACCTGTGCCAGGGCCTTCCCAAAATCCCATCTCCCCCCACTCCCTGGCATTTAAATCCATTCCAGTGACAGGTTAAACCCAAGTCTTTCAGCTGCCTCTGGGCTGGAGCTGAGGAGGG